TATGGGTGCGCCTCGTGGAGCCTAACAGCGGAGCACTACACGAAGCTCAATGGGACCCACCGCCAGTTCCTCACACGGTGCATCGGCTGGAGCAAGCGGAAACGCTCCGACCGCCCCCTGTCCTATGCCCAGGCCCTCATCCAGGCAGGCTGCGAGGAAACCATCGAGGCCACCGTGCGCAAACGGAGACTGTGTTTCGCGGGCTTCGTTATGCGCATGGAGGACAACCGCCTCCCCAAGCGCATGCTGTTAGGAGCGATGGCGGGGGGCGTGGGATACCGGGGCGGGCAGGAGAGCGACTGGGTGTCTCGTCTAGGAGAGGACCTCGTGGCCTTCAACATGGGAGACGAAAAGGAAGGGGGGAAATGGAAAGAGAGCGCCAAGAACTCGGAGGTGTGGTACAACAAGGTCGAGGACGGGGCGGCATGGTTCATGAGGAAATGGCACAGGCAGGAGGCGGAAGCGTCCGCGAAGCGCCAGCGCGCGCGGGAAGCAGAAGCAGAGAGTACGACCATCTCAGGACCGAATAGAAAGAGAACCGGCGAAGCGGCGGTGGGGGGGAAGAAACGGCGACCGGGCACTGCTGTAGAAGCGAGTAGGGCGGCCGAGGCAGCGCTTGTGGCGAACTATGTACCCGGCTGATGTTGTTGCGCCCTGTTTCCCTCCCTGCCGTATGCTATACTCCTTTATGTATGTCCTTTTTATTGCCTTCGGCCTTTGTGCTGTGTTTCTTTTTTTCATGACCTCCCTGCCTACTCTGCTGTGTTGGGTACCTTGATCTCGCTTTGCTGTTGCCTTTGTTTTTGTACGTCTGGCTGTCTGCCCATCTGCCGCCTCTTTGCCCTGTTAGCTTCGTTACTCCCATGCCCTGGTGCGCAGTGCCTGGTGCTGGTACGTTACCCTTTGGTTTTTTCTTTCGGCGGGTGTGGGAAGCGTCCTCCTTTATTTTTCTGTTATTATTGTTTTGTTTTATTTTGATCGGTGTCCGAGGGAGCTTTTCTCGAACGGTCGGTGCGCTATCTGTTCGTTTCTTTCTATCATTTTGTTTTCTGCTTCCGAGTGGTTTGTACCCTATTTTTGTGTTTTTTTTTTTGTTTTCTCGCGGCGTCGTATGTGCCGGGTTTTGAGACCACGGGCTCCCCATTTTTTGTGGACTATCGAGCTAATGTGAGAAACAACAAAAACAACAACAACAACACTGCTGTACCGTATCCATCCTCAGATCTTCAGGGACCTTGGTCCCCCTCGTCCCCACAAGTTTTCGTTCGAGCGCCTTACAGTTCTTTTCAAAGCAAAGCATCGACACATCTTCTCCGATATTTAGGAACGAGTTGTGGAGGTTCTAGAGATTGGTCGTCGCACGTCGGCAAATGAAACATTGGCTCTGGACGAGTAGAAGGGGACCAAGCGTGCAGGAATGAAGATCTTCGGTTTTTCAGCAGCAAAAGCAATGCGTTTGTTCAAGACAAACGCACGCACACTGGGAGGAGCTATGAAGGGGTATCCCCACCTCACAATCCTTGCGTTTGCTTTGCTTTGTGAGCACCGGCGCTTGTGCTCCTGGGCTCAAAGAGTGTGGTCTCAGAAAGCCCGCCTCCACCGTCTTTCGCAGGTGACGGAAGCCTTGTTCGACTGATTTTCTCCTTTCCGAGCTCTTCAGTTATTGCTTATTGCTGCACGTGCCGATCCGAGCCTCGAAAATCCCCCTTCACCCCGCCGGACGGAGGCTCATTATTGTTGTTGCTAGTAGCAGGCCCGGCCGAGGGCTCAGCACTTGTACACATTAGACTCTGTTCGAACCCGACTCTTCGGGATGGAGTTGCTGATGGAACGAGGAACACTACATACAGTCAGCGTATCAGCAACAATTAGAGGACGAGTGAAATGAATAATCTTCGTGTTATACGGCTTCATTCGTTTTGTTGCAAATGGTTTTCAATTTTTTTCGGAACGGCAAGTTGTCCGTAAGGGATAAGCACCCTTTTGTTATGGTTACTCTTGCGTTAAAAATTGAGACAGTTGTTTGCGGCCTACGCCACTTATTTATATCGTGAGACTGTTTTGGTGGTGTATTAAGTTCACGAGAGGTAGACGACCGTCCTTCACACGGACGAAAGAGGGAGTGCTCAAAGAGCGGCTCCCACAGCAAGGAGGGGCCCCGTGAATTATCCCGGTGCCCCCTACCAAACGGCAATTTTACCAGTCTGCGTGACACCAAATCATCCAGCACATGTATCCAACAACAATGTTCGCAGATCCACGAACACCCTTCCTGGTTCTTCACGCAAGTGACTACCCATCAATGGGGCAAGAACGCCCCTGGATACATAAAAAAGTACCAACATGGTGGTTATATATGGAGGGGAAACCCGGCGTCCGGGCAAAACCCCTTAACAAAAACCCTTTTAACACAACAAAAACCGTCGCTATCACAGCGGATCACAACGGCCGCACTTACTAGAAAGGCCAAGGCGAAGACAACAACGCGAGGAACTACGTTCCCCCGGACGATGGTCTCCCAACGCCCCCTACTCCTGCCATTGGTACACAGACCGCAACAGTTATGCGCCTTTCCCCGCATGGAAAACATGACCTCTCCCAAGTGCTAGAAACTGCTACAGCTACTCCGACAAATTCATCAACTTACGCCGGTGGTACTGCAGACTAGCCCTGCTAAGGGCCTTGGTTAGGAGGTCCGCGTGTTGCTCCGTTGTAGGAACGAACTTGACCGAAATATCCCCCGACCTAAGCAATCGGCGGATGAAATGAAATCTCACGTCGATGTGTTTCGTGCGACCTGAGCCGAGGGGGTTCTGCACCAACGCTATGGCCCCCTGGTTGTCCTCAAGGACCTGGATGCTGCTAACACTGGTCTCTGGGGCAACACACCAAAGCACAGCACGCACAAATAACGCCGCCTTGACGGCCTCCCCGGAAGCAATGTATTCGGCTTTTGTCGAAGACAAAGACACGATGCTCTGTGTCTTGCTACCATGGCTGAATACGGTACCTCTAACCGTCGTCGCCAACCCTGACACCGAAGGTTTCGGCGAGGGTTCTCCCTGGTGCGGCGGCTGGTGAGTTCTGCCGGCATGTCGAAGCAGGCGAGCCGCCGGGCCTCTGGCCCGCAGAGCGCCGGGAGATCCGTGTCGCTGTCGCTGTCGCTGTCGCTGTCGCTGTCGCTGCCGCTGCCGCTGCTGCTGCCGCTGCTGCTGCCGCTGTCGCTGTCGCTGCGGCTGCCGCTGCTACCACGGCTGCCGCTGCTGCGGCGGTCGTCCTCGCCGCCGACAACATCGGCCATGCCGGCCGACGGGGTAGATGGGGTGACGCACGCGCCCTCCCTGCTCGAGGGGGCGCAATCGCCAGCGTCGCCCGCGGGCCGCGGCGGCGGCGGCGCTACGCGCGCGGGCGGCCCCGCGGGCCCCTGGGCTGCCGTCGTGCCAAAGTTGAAACCCGGTCCTCCATCCACAGGTTCTCCCCTTGTCCTCCCTCCACCTTGGCTCGACGCGCCCTTCCCAACCTCGTCCTCCTCAGTCGCGAATTCCTCCTCCTCCTCTGCGATGGGAGGCAGCGATGCTCGGGTCGACGTCTTGTTGGGGATGGGCTTGCTAAGCCCCTTCGCCGTCGAGCACCCCAGGCACTCCCGGAGCTCGCCCACCAACGTCGTCCCCTGCTGCTTCGCCGTG